AGAATGATTCTAGAAGCCTAGTTATAAAAACTAGGGCATAGGTCTCATTGATTTTTATGATCAGGAGCACGTCAGTGAATGTGGTGCAAAGTTTCACAAATGAACGTGAAAGTAATTTTATTTCTCCCCATAATAAGTTTTGTGCATTCCTATAGGTGGCACTGTAGCACTGAAGATTGTGTTTGAGATATCAATAGAATCACAGTCATGCAGTGCATAACTGATAGAAATTCCAGCATGATCAGACTAAGCATGTGCGTGTAATAATTTTAAAAATATTTTTGGGGGGAGTCTTTGTGCTCCTTCTGGGCAAATGTGAAAAATGGACCATCTTCGTAATCAATATTTTTGCTTGAAATCATGCATAGAATTTTATCCCTGAATTTGGTCCAAATCCGATAATGTTGATGTTTCATGTCTATGGTAGGGGGTGCTATAGTGTTCACTTTTATTAGATTTCATATTTCATTACATTCAGGTCCAGATCACGCAATTGTGATTTGAATTTGAGCTCTCTAGGCCAGTAACTTCTTAGGTTCTTTTTAAAGACAATGCAGTAAAGTGTATTTACCTTGTTGAGTCAACAAGGTAAATACACTTTACTGTGTCTTTAAAAAGAACCTAAGAAGTTAAAGTATATAAGAAGACATAATGAACATCATTGGCTCTAAGCCAGTGTCCAGTGGCCGTGAGAGGTCATCAAGGAAATTAACGTATTTTTTGCCAGTGTGCTACGGGAAAACCGTAAGGAGTATCCCAAAAACAGCTGATAATTTTTGTGAACCTATGTCTGTAGGTGTGACATGACAAATTTGAGCTCATTTGGACAAAACACCAGGGTCTTGAATGTTTTTGCAAACACACAGTCAAAACAGCAGCAAATTTTTGATCCAATATGGCTCACTTCCTGTTCGTCATTGTCTCATTGTTCTCTATCACTGTACCGAATTTCATTTGCCTAGGACAAAATATGCTTTTCAGCTGCCTATAGACTTTAAATTTTGCACATTCCAGGGGGCACTGTTGAGTCAGGTCACTTTGGGCATTGTTGCAATGCCCATTTTATCAAATTTTTGCTGGATCGGTCAAAATGATACCTAGTTTGGGGCCTTTTTGTTGATGTTTAGGCCCTCAAAATCGTGATCATTTGCAAGAAAAAAATTATAAAAGAGTGGAAGAAACCCACGAAGAACAATAGCCCTCGCCAGTGACTATGTTACTGGCTCGGGCCAACCAAAAATGTTGGCAAAACAAGTCAGCCTTTTAACTTGCATCAGAAGGTGTGTGTTACATGAGAATTAGATAGAGAATGTAAGTAATCTCATAATGGACAAAGCGGCTGTCATTAATAATGTGTTAGCTTTCTGCAGTGATGGGGCAGCCAGGTGTCCATACTTTTATGTCTCTTCTGCTCCAGCTCCGGCCTTCAGTTGCTCGCCTCAAGCAGAGGCTCATATCATTTACTGCCAATATGTGGAGGTGCCGGTAGGGAAAGGCCACGCAGTAACACAAGTGACAGATTCTGCAGCTTCGATTAAACTGATCAGAGAATGAGCCTGCAAAGGACTGATGAAGTAGAACTGTCACTGTCTGAGGGCTTTCCCAGGATGCCACTGGAATTAGAGCTGGGCAATGGGACAAAAAATTTATCACAATATTTTTTTCCTCAAATCTGTCTCGATTTTCAGATATTATTTAGTTTTATTGAAAAATATGGGTAATAGCAAAAGGTATTTAGGGGAAAAAAGAACTACTGTTGCTAATCCATCAGTCATGACAAAAAAAAACAAAACAAAAAAAAAAACACATAAATTACTACTTTAATCTAGTTCAGAGTGATTCCAAAGAAACACCGTGCAGGATTTGTAGACATCTGGACCACAACATAAAGACAGCCAGCGGCGTGGCGTTACAAGCACAAGTCCAGATCAATGTAAAATGAACCCTTTCTCCTGGGAGCTGTTTTGAACAAACACAGCCAAATGTTTAAAGATGAGACTGCGCTGTCCATCGTCCACAAAGCAGCAGCTACAGCCCCTCACTTTAACTGACCTATGCCCAAGGAGGTCAAATCCTTTCAGGCCCGGTCAATAGTGCAATGTCCTGCAATTACCCATGGGTCATTGTGATAAATAGTATTGAATATGATGGTGTATTCACAGCGCAGCCATGCGAAGCCAAAACAATAGCGATTTGAGACCTTAAGCACAGGATCTGCACTGAAACACATTAAAGCAGTCTGCGCTGGTCCCAGCCTTTGCCACGGCACCACCATCCACTTGAACTTTGACCCAGGAAAACAGGATCAAATGCCCAGAGGCGGAGAGAGGCTCAAACATCATGGGGTGTGGATAATAAACAATGCAAGTTGACCTACATGTTTTGCTGTGTAACTACTGCTTAAAGTGTTTCAAAAGGCTGCCATGGGCAACACCGATAGACAGCTATTTGAATATTTGACTTAATTGCATAGAATGGTCAAATTGTGTAAAGAGCCATTCAAGGAAAAATGGGACCATTGGATCAGGTGAGAAGCACTGACTTGGTAATACTTAAAGTTGTGCTTGTCCCGAAAATACTGTGGCCATACATGTTGTCACGGGCCAGTTTCATCAGATCTAAGGAGCTAACATCAGACCTGGTTAGTACTTGGATGGGAGACTGCTGGGAAGGAATATCAGGTGCCAGAGGAATACCAGGTACAGAGGGCAGTAATGGCTCAAGAAGAAAGTGTTCCATCTTTAGGCATGACAGCCACATGACCGCCACATTGCCTACTATGAATGTGATGTGTGTGTGAGTGTCGGAGGATCAGACTGGCCTAAATTATCATTTATTATAATCTAGACACTAGATGTAACATTTTTAAACTAGTGGGATGACAAGGCATGGATAAATTTCAGTAAGAAAACTGGGCTGAACGTTGAGAGACAAATGTGCTATTGTGTGACACTTATATGGCGTGCATAAAGATCGAGAAAAGCTTTTATGGTCTGCTGAACGCCTCCTTCCACTCTGTGCTCTCAGTGCGAAGCCTCAGCCATTATTGCCATGTACAATGAGCCTGTATGTAAGTGAGTGTGAATGTACCAGGGCTGCTGTGTCAGACATCTTCAACGATGCTTTCTTTACAAGACCCTATCCTTGGCTGAACCACTTCAACTCAAGACAATGGCTGCATCTATTTCTATGCCTAGAATCAGCTCTGCTAATTTTTGCAGATGACAAACCGGGGCCAACAGTGTACTCAAGGTTATCGGAGTGAGGTGTCGCAGAGAGAGGCAGAGCTCTCCTGTTACCACAGCAGCCTCTTTGTCAGTTGGAGGGCTTGCATTTGCGTTGTGTCTCTGTGTGGTGTCGTGTTGCGTTACATTTTTTATTATTATTGAGAAACACATGTTGCCAACTTGCCTACAATTTGGGCTTGGCAATATGGTGGTGAAGACAGCATTATGATATGATTCCTGTGACAATTTGCTGCTGTGATATTCATATTGTAAGTCAGTACTTTTTCATATGTAATGCAGCTCTTTGCTCAGACAGAATCCCCCACTCACTCCTCCTTGGTCAGCTTCTGTCATGCTGTCATAAGTGGATTTAAAAGTGTGAACTCTCATAAGTAGAGATATTTGTGGATACATTTTAAAGATAAGACAGTGCTCATGCGATAAAAATTGTGAAACGCTCATATTTTTTGTGGATATTGCCCACAGCCTTGACCTAATCAGTTAAAGTTATGAAATCATACACTTAGGTTACATTACATTACTTTCTATCGAGGTGAGGTTCGTGCATCTTCTCAGAACAGAAAGTTTCTAACCCCAATATATTTTAGGTGTGACTGATTTTCAAATTGGGTCAATATCCCAAAATGGCTACCAGACACAATTTTGTACTATTAATCCTGGTTGCCAAAACAAAACAGAACAAAATGAATTGTTCTTTCTATCTAGTCTAACTTAAGGTATACATTACTGACCCTAAAGGGAAATGCATCTTGTGTATTGGACCCTTCCTTCTCTAAATTATAAGCAAGATTTTTTTTCTTATCCTATGCTTTGTATTTTCACACTTTCTATACGTGTTAGGTCTGGTTCTTGGTACATTTTGTTCAAACCAACCTATAGTCTCATTCTTGTGCCAATAAAACCCACTTGCTCTCTCCATAGTTCCCGTCTCCCACACACATTTCTAACATGGAGGTTGTGTGAGGCGACAGGAAGTGCCTCATCAATAATGGACGTGTGGTTGTGTGTGTGGCTCATGCACTCAGGACACCTTGTAACTAATAACCTGCAGATACAAACTCAGCTATTACACCCAGACAGGAGAATACATCGGGCAGCAGCAGAAATAAACATCATCTATCTACCATTTAGCGTCAACACAGAATATAACACTGGCGGCTCAAGACAATTTGCCAATGGGAAATTTCAATTTGCCACAAAACCCTCATATGAATGCACCCTCACATAACACATGCAGCACAGCATCGGGACACAGGGAAAGAGATGCTGGAGAAGAATGTAGGTAGAAGACTTAAAATCAAATGACCACACATGTATTGTTTACCATTGTATCAGGTTTATGTAATCCCATCAAGTAGTGTCAAATATCCATGTAATTTATTCTTTGTAAAATAAGGTACTTTGAGTGTGAGGAGAGAAGACCACTTTAAACGAGATGCGAGACAATGTTTTAGGTGTTATATTACTAGAAGTATTAATCATGATAAATTTCAATAAGTACTATTGTTTTCAATGATAATAGATGGATACTAGTTCATCTTCAGTTCAAATATTAAGAGAGTTGTTATGCTCAACTTGTTGAACTTATTATGCTCAAGAGAAAGTAACAGATCATAAACCTGAAACATATACATGCCAGAATCCTCAGGGATGTTAGTTGTATACATTGAAGTAGGTACAAAATATCTAACACATTACCCACATTACAATTTATAGTGAGCCAAAAATAGGTAAACCATTTGTTCAACTTACCAAATATATTTGTGGAATGTCCTTTCTTAGCAATAGGTTTGAGCTCGTTGTGACCCCAGCCGTACTGTCTGTAGCTGTCCCAGGCATGTTTCATCATCTGCAAAACAAAACAAAAGACAATCTTTAGACTCTGCATAGTGTCAGTGTTTTTTTTCTACACAGTACATTTAAAGGTGAAACAATATTTTCCCCCGTTAGGAGTTTTACTTGTCTTATAAATAATAGAGCAAAGATTCCCCCTCATTTGACCTTTGGAAAAAAAGATGTGAGAAAGACTTGGCCAGAAGGCATAGGAGCCAGAGATGGGTCCTGACAGAGGCTGAGGAGAGCAGAAGAGCTGCAGGGCAAACTCTACCACATGACACCACACAGCATATGCAGAGAGGAGCCTTTACTCCAACACCACTGACACTTCCATTTCAAATATGTATTCTTTTTCTCCAAGTCGAATGCCAGTGTCAGATTCACAGATAGAACGTGTTCTTCAGTGGACAGCAAATGCATTCCTGTTCAAATTGTAAACACTGTGGGAAAACACTGTACTGTATTAACAAAAGACCTAAAATATTTTACTTTTGTTAAATATATGCTGATAAAGCATTATCAGAAACAACAGCAAAAGGTTGATGCACCGAGATGGCAGCTGCATCAGAGTGATGCTAAGTCAAATTTTACCTTCTCTTTTTGGTTGTTTTAAAAGTCCTATATTAAACCTAATTGACTCTTGTGAGTGTTAAGCTATGTTATAATGCTGTTACCCCATCAAAAACAAGGAGCTGTATTTTAATCCTTTATTATTAGTATGTCTACACCTCCAAAGCTCAAAATGCTCTGTTCCACCTTGTGATGTCATGTAGTAGCAGTTTTCAAGTTAACAGCTATCTTTTAGTTCCTTTAGTTAAGCAGAAATGGACAATTTAAGGGCTGAAATTATCCAAATGATTCTAGTGAAGGTGTATGGAGTTTAGCACTTCCTGTATTACTGTATAAGAGTCGTACTGTTTATGAGCTGTATAATAAAAACAACAGTCCGGTGGAGCAGCAGCCTTGGTGACAGCATTTCAACTCTTTCCTCAGAGGACAGTTCCTAAGCCCCTGTGGGAAGCTTTGAAGCCAGCAGGGAGTCCAGTTAATAAAAACAAGGTGTGTTCTTGGCCTTGCTCGTTTCCATGACACTGCACAGGCACGTGGAGGGGATTATAAATCAGATTAATACGCACTGACGGACACTTAGAAGCTGGCACATTCCCTCTGATCGGTGTTGATTGGATGCTTCATCAAGCTTTGATTTGTCCATATGGCAAGGACAAGCGAGGCAACGCAAGCTTGTTGACAGTGTTGACACATGACTTGTTCCAGAAGGACCTTGGGAAAGTAATTGGTTATTAAGCGGCCAAATTCTGGATTGATTTTGACAGCAGCTACCCCTCATCATCAGGACACCTTGAAAAGAGGAGTGGGAAATTACACTGTACAAGCTATAATACCGGATAATGTCCTAATTTATCCATCAAAGTCCTCTAAAGACATCCCAATGCACAAGTATATGAGACCCACATCCTGTACTCTGTTGAGAACACCTTATAAGTATTACAACTGCAAAGACCACAAGAGTTTACAATTTATGTCTTACTAACCTCTACGTAACCTCCTTTAGAGAGCAAAATATTATATTCAGAACCCAAAGTAATGGATGTCAGCTGAAAGAGACAATAAACAATGATTTGCCTCTGCACTGGACCTGGGGAGATATTTAAGTATGAGGTTGTATACGTCTATTATCGTCTTGGGGAGTGATCTCCTTATTTCTATGTGGGCCAGTCACCAAAGTGCCACAGTGAATATATTAATCACAGCACATTATACTCCGGAGCACAGTTTGGAACGGCCCAGCGCTCCAGGACTGGCCCTGTGTTATTAAGGTCAGAGTCAGAGGGAGATTAAAACCACTCCCGCTCCACCCCTCCACCCTTCACTGATGAGTGAGAGGAAAAGTGAAGCGTCAACTCTACTGGTGGCTTTGATAAAGATGGGATTTGAATATTTACTTTGCTCAGATAAATCAACCTTAAAATGACCAAGAAATGAGCTTCACACCATTTGTTTTTTTTAACTAAAACAGGACTGAAGTTTTAAATTCACACTGTTTTAGGGGTGTAACAATAACCGTAATATCATGATATCATATCGTCAAATTTCTCACAATAATATCGTGGACCATCGCAATATATCGAATTACAAGTCTCTTTGCTTAAATTTAGAGTTATGGTGCAGCAATAACTAAAAAAAGACAGAGGGAACTACATAGACCATGATCCTTTGCTCCATTTTAGTGTAGACTACAAGAAGAAATAACAGTTCTACGCAGTGTTAAGTCTTCATTCTTTGGATTACATCCTGTCAAGGCATTTTAAGAGGAAAAAGTAGCATATTTTGTTAGCCTCCACAAAATATCGCAATAAATATCATATCGTGAGATGTATATCGTGAAAACATCATACCAAGAGATGTGGATATTGTTACATTCCTAATCTTGAGCCTCCCCACCATATCTTGAGCTTTCCCACGATATTACAATAAATATCGTACCGTGAGGTTCATACCGTGATGATATCGTATCGTGACACTTGGATATCGTTACACTCCTACACTGTATGTGCTTTATTTACACAAAATAACATACATACAATTACATTTCTCGCAAACACCAACATGTTCAGAAACTGCAGAGGAAATTGGAACCTATAAACTTTTATGACATAAATGGTTAATGTTTTTATGTGTATTGTATCAAAGAATAAATTAAATACAAACTATGCATTAACAAATGTCTTTTGTTCTTCATTTTGTTGTTTGTGAAAGTTTGGCACTTTTAACTTTAGACTGTTGCAGCCAGCTTGTGCTGTGATGTTAATGACCAAAAGACTGTCGACTGAATGAGGTGCTTTGACCTTCACAGTGGAAGCCAAACACCGGCCCACTAGTCGCCTGGGTCTGGCCTGGACTAAAAAGCAGCATAATCAGCCCCCAGCCATCTCCTTCCCAAAGGACAGAAGAGCGTGACTCATGTAACCATAGCCCTAATACACTAAAGTCCCACACACGCTCACACGGGCCGACCCTGGAGGAGTAACATATTCATAAATCTCTTACAGCCGGAGGTACAGAGCAGAGCCATTACCAGTGCATTGTTCAGTTTTTTAATCTGCACAGCCTGAGAGCACAGTGACAGATTTCAGAGGTTTGGGAGTTGAAGGGGGGTGACCTCTCGAGTCATTCTGACTGATTTAAGGCACACGTCCCACATGCCCTCGTCTTTCACATCTCCTTCCAATTCACCCCACAGAGGGTTCCTATCTGCCCAAATGGAACCCACTCAAAAGATACATGAGGACGGGGACATCGCAATGGCTTATTACAGTGAATGGTAACTCAAACTCTGATACAGAGAAGCAATAAATCATCCTGATATCTGTGCGGTTAAAGTGTCTGTGTGCAACTAGTTTTATAGTAGCTAACTATCTTACATAAATCGAGATACCTCGAACTTTCAATCTCAACTGAATAACCAATCCTAGATTAAATTTCAGATTTGTGACAGGCAGGTTTGAACTTCGAACTTGAGCTGAAATGTGGACATATCTTGTAATTACTTCAGGAATCAAACAAGCAGTAATCATACAAGAAGCACTTTGTATTTATCAAGAAAAAACTGAATGAAGTGCGTGTTGGGCATACAGCTTGACAAAAGGTCAGTTTTCAATCAAAAGGCTAAATCAGGGCATGAAGGAAGTAACACACAATCGTTTTTTATCAGCATTAGTGTTTTGTGCCTGCAAAACCTCTAAAATCTGTATTTAAGCGGCTCTGGGCGTTAGCGGTAGCATTAGCCACAAAGACGAAATGGCTGCAGCTCTCATCTGGACAAAAATACAGTGCAGTATTGGATCAGTGAATTGGTTTGAGTAGTTGCTGATTAGGGATGCAATGGTATTCAATATAAGTAACTTTTTCAATATCGTGACCCATGTATCGAGATACGTATAAAATCATGGGAAAACCATATCGTTGCATTCCTATTGCTGATACTGATACCTGAAAAATATGGTATCTATGATTTTGTTAGAACAAGCCTAAGAAAAATGTAACCAAAATGTATCAGGCATAGGCAGCTTAACACCATAATGTGCTGATAGAATTTGCAAGAAATTGATGTGATGAACAAATGCCACCATTATACAACAGGATGCTGAGTGGTGCTGTGTTAGCGTCACAACAGCACATATTTTCTATTCTGGAGCATGCAATCTCTATATATTATCTGTATTAGAAAATGTGAACATATCTGTAATAAATTGTTTCCATCCTAAAGATAACTCCAACAATGCTCAAGGCTGCTGTATACATTCAGCCGAACTAAATAAAGAAAATGCAGTGATTGTGCTTTAAACGACCTGGGAGACATTTTCACTGACATTCCATTTACATCACCTCAGCACTAATTGGAGAGGCTTGTTAAATTGCCATACACCAAAATTATACAATGGGATGCTTTCTGTGCAACTCCCAAACAGGTGCACAAAACATGACAATAGTGACAAAGTGAAAAACATAAAATCCAAAATGTTATCTTTTAATAAGAACATAAAATAAAAACCTCCAAATTTCTTCCCTAAACTACCAAACCTGCGAAACTAAATAATTATTTCTTCCTTTACAGTGCATTTTGGAATATTTTGTACCTTTTGCAATGCTACCGAAAACTAATAATATTGAAATGAGAATTGGAACAGCAAAATGTTTTTCTATTTTGTGAAAATCATACGCCAAGACACATTGTGCTGGAGTTTTAGCACTCAGCCCCTGAAAAACCACTCCAGAGAACAGAGAATAGAAGTGCACAGCGTGTATTATAAGGTGATGTTGAGAGCTATATGGAAAAGGTTATGCCATTACTCAGGGAAGGCAAAACAGCTGGAGCCCCGTTGACAAATACAATCATACATAATAAATACAACATAATGTGCTCTGCGGGTTATGGCTGTCAAAAGAAGTTTCCTTGCATAGTACTTGCGCTGTACTAGAAGCAAGACAATTCAATCATACGTTAACAACAGAACAGTTACACTTTCTAAAGCAGATTTATTGTACTGCTGAACTTAGCTTTTTTTGTAATACATTGCTTTAAAGGTGCACTGCGCAACTTTTCTGGTGGAGGGTCCGCTACATGCTTGTCTCCATGGACATGTTATTACTTTGCCTGGAAGATTCCCTGGAATGACATTAAAGATATGTATGTACCATTTATTCATTATCGAGGTTTCTACTGCCCAAAAATAAAATATTTCCTTCTGTGAATAGAGGCGACTCTCCACAGACCTGAATTGTAATGTAGCGTAGTGCTGTAACCTGCTTGTCTCTCTCGTGATAAATTAAACCAATCTATACTGTGGAGACAAGCAGGTAGCAGACCCTCCATTAGAAATGTTACGTAGTGCACTTTTAAATGACAACTACTTGAAATGATATTCAAATTCTCCATTCCAAATAAATTCAAAATGTCCAGTTGCCATAGCTGTGTAGAAGAGACAGGTAGTTACAGACTGAATTGTGAACTGGACATAAACCTGTCTTTATAAAATGTGATTGTTTTACTGGCCAAGTGAAGGATGCAGCAGATTGGCTGAATTTGACACAAGACAAAGTGTTAGAGAGATTTTGCCATCCAGATAAAAGCCAGTTAAAGTTTTCCAGTTTTTACCATTCATCATATAAAATCCTATGTAGCTGTTTATCCATGAAGCTGAATGGCAGTACATTAAAGTAATATGAGACTAAGGAAAATGCATCTACATCCCAAGCAATATAAATCTGCACTAAAAGCATATAAAAAAGCCAGTGGAAAATGGTGGTAAAAGCAGACAAAATATGGCATTGTATTGTTTATTATTATGGACTTTCTACACAAAGAGAACAATAATATTTTTGTGTGCCCTTCCCCAGAGCCAAACACAGATGTCCACACGTCCATATTACCAAGGTGTCACTGCGCAATACAACTCAAGGGTAAGAATGCATCCTTTTGTTTTGTGTGCTGCCAATCCAGTTTGACACAAGGGGTCCGATCTTGCCCCTAATCTTAGCACTAGTGCAAGCTTTAAGGAGGGGGCGTGTCCAGGTCGGGTTGTTCTTCGCTGCTGGAGTGGGATGGTACGAGTACATATATCTGTGTCCAATCTGTGACCACTGTAGCATTTAAAAGCACTGGCAGTGTGTTTAATTTCCGCAATCTTTGCCTCATTACAAGGCAGCAAAGAGGGGTATGTGGAAAAGTTGTATATGGTATGGGTACAATAAAACAGCTACGGAGCACCACAATGCAAGTACGCACCAGTACAGGCACCAAAAATAAAGAATTCTGGATGGGCCGTAGCAGAACTGACCGAACACTCCGTGCACACACATCAACCTTTTTAGTTTTCTCTGCGCTCCTTTGTTCGTTTGCCTCCTATTACGCAGCAGACCAGTGTCTATCTCATGCGCTCCCCATCCCCAGCAGACCCGCTGACCGCTGCTCTCACCCTGGTCGCACATGCTCTAGCCATGGACTTAGCTGAGGTACAAGATTCCACTGATGCTACTGCTGACCACTCACATTCTCGTCTCAGGGGTGTCCACTAGAGATGCGCGGGCGGTCGGGCGGATGACGTGAAGAAAAATTATATTTTAATTAAATTCGGGCAGGTGGCGGTTTCACTACTTAAAAAAAAAAAAAAAAAGTTATTGTTAGTATTGTTACCTACATCTGAAAATACGAGTGTCATTGTCTATGCTTGTAGTATGAAGTGTACGTCATATCCTTAATTAGCCCATTTGACCTCGTTTTTATGTTCTGAAGGTTAAGGTTGTGTCGGGTTATTGATGCCTAAGGTTTACGAGGCACATATTATATGCAGTTTATTTTATTATTTCTAATTTATTTCAGCTGTTTGCCAACACATAAATGGCTATAGGGCCATATTTATTTAGTTATGCATATTCTTTCTTGCCTATTTCAATTGGAATATAAAGAGGGCATTGCCTGATTTCAATAAATGTTCATCTGGATGAGATGATCTGTCTATTTTGTTTCAATATCAGTTATATTTTAAAACACGCAGACATTATAGCGTAGACAGCAACTCGGGGTTTTTAAAACTTAAAGAAAGACCGATGGAGTGAGGCTATGACTTTGAAATAACATCGGGCAATGGCAGAATGTTCAGAATGTAACAACATCCAACACGAAGGCAAGAAGGTTCAAAAATAGTCTAGTCGGAAAACGTTGTCAATTAATTAGCTGCGCAAGAAAACCAGGTAAATTTGGGGTTGTTGCGGACAATTAAGAATGCGAACATACACACTGAGCGAATTTTGGAATGAATGAGCTACAGAGTTTGCATTTTTATCGAGGCTCCTTAGTTTGTTTGCTGTATGATTGTTCTAAAATCTAAAATCAATCGGCGGATGGCGGGCAGGTGCGGTTTTGAAAACCTTCGGTGCAAAATGGATAGCGGGTGGATGATGAGTTTTGTGTCGCGGTTGCGGATGAAAAAATAGCCCATCCGCGCATCTCTAGTGTCCACTACATTTTGTCCTACACAGTTGGATGTCTCATGGATTATGGTATACATTTGTCATATAAATGTTTCAGATTTTACCGCTTTGCGCACAGACATGGATTAAACTATTAACACACAGGAAGGGTGACTGCACGACCTGCATTTGCCCCACAAGTGGCTGATATGCGCCATGAGCGAACAGAGTAGGATGCGTAAGTCTGTGCATAGCAGTGCTCATGTGCGTGTCTCTTGAACCGCTGTACAAAGCTCTACTGACCGCTGCTGCCAAGAGAGCAGCACATACGAGATGTGCGTCTGCTCCGCTGTCACAGCGCTGAGCTGTCAATCAATGCACGCTCTGATGTCTGTCCAAATCCGGCCATGAGAATGTGAGGAAACCTGATATCGCAACATTACAGGGTAAGAAAACTCACTTTAGGACATCGCTGTAAACGGCCTCATGTGAATGAGCAGTTTTTGTACAGATCCAGATCAAACCAAACATGTTTATTATAGGAAAATAGCAAATATTAAATGTTTATGCAACAAATGTTGAGATTAGGGCCTCACTAACAAGACATGACATTTTGATGTCATTAGGACAGCTTTCAGTTTATGAACTGTTAACAGTTTGTTTAATTGAGGTCTTCAAGTCAAGCAGGTCACTGCTGGAAGCATCAGCAAAATCTCTTATCTTCTAACTAAGTGAAGGAATATAACACCTAAGATTGCTGTTCTACTTATTTATAGACTGGCAACTATCACCGATAGTCAGATAAAAAAAAAAAAATCTGTAATCTACTGTATGTTTACCACAAAACCGGACTACCAACTCCAGCCAAAGTTTCAATAGTTTGAATACCAATGTATGATATGGAGGCTTGTTCATTAATAAAACTTGGCTTTAAGTTGAAATACGTGACCTTGAAAATGTAAAATTTATTCAAGTCTTGTGATGGAGTGGTTATTGGCAGATCCAAAGCTGAAGGTGTGGGTGGAGCGTGACAGAGGACCATTCTGGGTCTGTAAGGAGGTTAGCGTGCTGCTGGAGCCTAGGCAGCTGCTTGTCGTTCATTTGGAAGAGTGTAGCCTTCTGTATGAATGGTGATTATGAAGCAAACAAAAGGGATATTTAGAGACAAAGGCAGGTTTGGAGTGAATGGGTCTGCTCCGTTTACAGCTCAACTCTGCCTGAATCCAAGAAGCACTTCGAGAGCCGATATGAGGTTATTATTCAGGAAAACTAGAGCGCAGGAAGGAGAGGAGCACAGAGAGGCAGATAGGATTGGTTTGGCTGTGAGTGTATAGAGAGAGCAGCAGCCGATAGCACCATCTGAATTCTGAACAGGCGCTGCACGTCTGGCTTACTGTTGCCTTCAATAAGAGCTGGCGCACAGAGAAAAGTGGAGAAGAGAAAGAGATTCAGCTGTACAGGACAGAGAAACAGTGGGCCAGGCATATGCGCATGTTCAGTGTTACTACAAGCTAAAGTAACAAAAGAAACCAATCAAATAGTGGTAGAGATTACTTTGAATAAGCAAGATATCTAGCAATCAGACTGAAAAATTAAAAAGTGAGGATGACATCAGTTGATATTGCTTACAAAATGGTCCCGCAAGGGCTTTGAGAAATGTTTTAGGATAGAACATAAAACAAAATCCTCCAAGATCAGTCAACACCAGATAATACACTGTATAACATAAATACCCTTGAGACCAGTAGGCACATCTGCTCAACAGCGTAAGTAACACAAAACAATATTTATATTTAAATATATATGATATATCTATATTGTTCTATATGTTTTAATATATGTTCAGAACATCTAGATAGGGCTGTGCCAAAAATCAAAACATCACTAGATCATGAACTAAACTTTGGTCCCTCTCAATAATAAGGCAATTTATTCAACAAGTCTGGAGTAAATTCTGTAGCATTAAGAGTGCATGATGCTGAAGAGGAGTCATCGCTCTCTTGTTTAGGTAAAAAGCAGGAATCAGAGCCACAGTCTCTTTATGTCTCCTGACATGTCCTTGTATTTCATAAGTTTTAACTTAAATATGCACATTTTGACTAATAATACATAATAATACAATAATAATTACAGAAAGTAAATATATTTTCTCAACATTTATAAGTGAAACTCAAGACATAATTTAATAACTTACAAAATGTATACTCAATACTCGAACCTCAACACAAACTGTTATGTGGATAATTCCTTCATTACATATTTGTCAATATTGCAATATTGTGAGTGCTGTTAAAGATTATAGTCTTACTTCTCGGATCTTGTCTCGTTTCTCCTTGACATCAGGCTCTGGTGGCTCTCCGTCGTTCACTCCCACCACTTGGGGCATGGGGACCGGAGGTAAAGGCTTTGGCCCTGGGTCCTTCTTCTTTAAGTCCTCCACCACCTTCGTCTTCTCTGTCTGGATCTCAGCTTGGAGCTCCTCACGGGACTTTCGCAGCTTCTCCTTGGCCTCCTGCAGTGCTCGCTCATGGTCTGCTCGGATCTTATCCCGCAGGCTTTCCTCCTCCTCCCTGCAGGGGGCAACCACACATATCAGATGGGTATCAGATGGGTTTCTTAGTATTCAGCATGCTGGCTTTTACAAGTCAGCTTATTGGAATCACAAAGCCTTAGCTAAAGCAAAAACTGTAAAACCATAAAATTGGACCAATACAGTGCAACACCATCAATCCACACTACACCATTTTAATTCAAGGGCAAGTCTCAATTTCCACACAAGCCTCAAGCATTAACTAGTAAAATACAAATTATCAGAAAATACAACATTAAATTACTAATGTAAGGCAGTAAGCTGTACTATGATAAAATGTGTGGGACTAACTTGCAATGTGATCAATTCCTGATCATGTAAACAATATCGTATTACTATATTACTTAATGTTTTTGTAATCTTGCAAACAGATCAACAGCCACAAAAGAAAAAAAATACTACAACAAACTTACAATAATATTTATTATTTCAAATTATTTAAAAAGTATCTAAACCTATATGATTCAAAGCTAGATCCCAAACATGACCAGCAATTATTAGGGGTGGGACGAGATACAATTTCCACAAAACGAGACGAGACACGAGATTGGATCTATAAGAACAAGACAAGATGAGATTTTGATACTATTTAAGCTATAATAAATACAATTTGCAATTCAGTTCCTAAATTTAGCCTCACCATTTTTGATTTACTTTATTTAATATTTCATTATAGTGCTGTTTTTTGGGACTACAGATTCCCATAAAAATGCAACTCACCAGAACTCTTTTTTTTTCCAATGCAAAGGTAAAACATTAAGAAAAAAATCTGTGTGCACAGTCTTGAGGCAAATATTGTCTCACAAGATCTTGTGACACGAGATCTTGTCCCATCCCTAACAATTATCATCTATTTTAGCAGCACAACACAATCAGCTCATTATAAACTAGATGCAAGCCTGGGCCTTTAATGTGAAACACCCCCCCATCCCTGTGAACTGTTACATAACCACCAGGAAGTAGGAGAGGTGTGAGGCGAAACAATGAAAAGACAAGAGGAACATCGTCTGCTCCATCCTGTCCATGGGGTCTCATGTCCACCTCGTCACGCTGTGGGGCAGGAGCAATACAAACACAAAGGTGAAATAACAATACCAATAGTGGACACAAGGTCTGCGGAAGTTATAGAACAAAAGTTATAAAATATGTGCAACTAAATCACAAGCTACATATTACAATTCAGTGTGCATTGCTTGCTCAAGGGTGGAAGGCTGCCACATTTGAATAAAATGGTCCTTGACTGAAAGACAATAGCAATTTCATTTGTAATCATTTGGTTTCAGGGAAGCAGTGCAATACGAAATGAATTCTAATGACAAGCGTAGGACAGACTAAGCATTTTCAATTCAGGTGCTGGGCCAAGTGTGTGGGATGGCTCATTGTAATAACTTTTAAAAGATCAATCAAAGTGGCTGTGTTTGTTCTAGCAATAATGAAAAGGTAGCACATGAATAACCACTGCTATTCTGACTGCTCAAGTACATTACTAAAGCTGTCAATTTCAACAACACCATCAGTCAAAAACGCCAGGTCCACTTTAGTTACTCTGAATGGGGTGATGATAGCATTGAAATTGGCTAGTTTGACGCAATATGATTTTGTTGTTTTTCTGCTTATGAATGTCGTTGTGTGGGATTAGCCTGACATGCCAGAGACCTGCTGTTCCCATGTGGACGCAGCTGTACGCCTCTGTAAAACTAAAAGAGAATATAACATTACCTTTCTTTAAAAACAACTAGGATAAACATGAGAAGGAGCAGTTGTAAATGTACATGTACATTTTGCAAAGGCTTATGGTGGAATTTATTTATTTATTCATTTTTAAGACAATGACATGTTATAGCAAGCAGCATCTTCAGCATACACAAGGAAGGTGTGTCACAAAGGGTAACATTAAATACCAAATATTTTTTAAACGATTTAAGAATAAGGCTGCAACCATTAATCCTAATAATTAAGACTAATCAACTTTGACATTGACTATTTTGATAATAACTGTTTGATCGACCTTTTTCAAGTAACATAATTAACAACAAAATAAAAGTAATATATTGTAGCTGATTTAGGTGAAACAAATGCATTCATTTCAGTAAATGTAGGAATAGAAAGGAATGAAAGAAAAATGGCCACCACAACAGTTCAATTCAATGCCATCATCCCTGTAAAAACAATGGATCCTGTTAAAAGTAGTACTCCACTCCATTAAGAGCATTGATGCCCATCTCTCTTTAGAGGAAAGTCATTTTACAGTGAAAAGATTCCATTGCTTGTCCTCTATTGAAGCCTAAACAAAAACTCTTATTATAGTTACACAAAACAAATGAAAACGCCAGATTTTCATTTTTACATTTATAAATATTTATGCTGTCACTTTGAATGTGGGGCCAATGGAGCTTCACAGTTACACAACATTGCCCTGGAAACGCCTCATAAATATTCATAGACTGCAACTAGGCGCGTCTGACTTTAATTGATAGAAAACATATTTTTGCAACACCAGGCCTGCAATTAGTACATGTACGCCTCACGATGTCATAGCATGAGTTTGTAAAATTGTCTTATTGTTGACAGTGAGTGAATACTGGGGTTTCCTTTCCACAGTGTGCCTCAGCAATCCGTACCTATGGATGCACTGATGGTATCAACAAAATATGATATTAATATAGCAACTTAGCAAACAGGACTCAATAGAGTAGCTTTCAGTCTTTAACCGTCTCATGATAAAAAACATCAAAAACAAATGTCAAATGCCACAACAAAATCTATTATATTGATAGCAGGCAAGTGTCAATAATTAGCTCAATTAATCAAATTTTAAACAAGAATTGAAGACATGATTCTCATTTCTAATTGTCAGTTATATGCTCCAGTTTAGTTTGTCACTTTCAGTGATCGGAGTTTAGTTGTATACTTCTTGATTGAAAAAAAAACAAGAAGTCTACAACTAAACTCCCATCACTCATCACTCACATGTATCTAGCATAGTCTGGCTCTCACCAGAAGTTAGATGACAATGATGTTTTTTGTGCATCTTGAAATTTGCTGCATGTCTAATTTGTTACATGTTTGTGTATAAATACAGTCCTTCTATTTCTATTTATACTTATGAATCTGTTCAAAAAGACAAATCTAATGCACAGAGGACAAACTGGGAAAGACACATGGGCACATTGAATGGGGTAGGGCCAAAAAATATTCGTAACAAATAAAGACAAAAATCCATTGATATGTGCCAGTACAGATACTGGAACTAATATATCTCCCATTTCTAATTAAAAGTTTGTGTTTGTGAAATTACTATTCAATAAACAAAAATATCTAATAAGAGAAAATAAAAACTAATTCTGAAATATGATCAATCAATATGAGTGGAAAAAAATGTCAAATTGCCCATCCCAACAACACATAACACAGTACCACTTAATTTTGTCCAAAACACTCTTCACTTCCTCTCACTGTACCTTTTCAGTCTGGTCTTTTTTCTGAGCCAATATCAAAGTAAAGCTGTTCCTGCGTCACTGGTATCACATCCCATATAATGTCAGACACACGATTAGGAGCAGATCCCAGCAGCCTCCCTCCATTACCTCCACAAAGGCAGGCGTAGGCTGAGGCTAAAGTGTACCCAGGCGGTTTCTGTGTGCGCCGTCTCTACTTTTTAACGTCTGAACAAATCTGGCAGAGACAATCTGTGGAAAAAAGCCTGGCAAATCTTTCCGCTTTATTTTACCCAAGTTCTTCTATCCAAGTAACGACTAGAGCCTCGAACACACTGAAAACAAGGATCTATGCCAAGTTCAAGGATAACTGCTTTAAAAATAAATGTGGAGAGTTGTGCTATCTTTTGATCAATATTTAACAATATGTTCTTCAGGGGTATTACTAATAAAGCACAGATGATTTATCAAAAACTTTAATAGTGGTAATTATTTGTGAGTGACAAAAGGTCTACTAATATTTACTATGCAATTATGACAGTAGAAAGATGGTACATCCAATACCGTCATGGTTGGTTGGCAAAGGAGAAATTAAATTTGTCAACTGGACAAATGTTCAGAGTAGTTTCAGTGTAGTTAGCTCTTCCCTGCAGGCAGATATAAGCAAGTATTCACCAGCATCTGACCAGAACTGAAGAAGTATCTTGGATGAGCTGCCAAATGTTTTCAACCTAAATAAACGTTTATCCAGTTGATAAGTTCAGTTTCTCCTTTGCCATGGACGACTGAGGGATTCTACATACTTCATGGTTGGTTGTTTAATCTCTGCTCCGAAAAGTGCAAACTGCCTTTGTGTACTTTAGCAAAACAATATCAAACGTTATCAAACATTCAGTTTGGCCTACATCGTCCTCCTGTACTGTCATGGCGATGGGAGAACATGTACCTCAGCAGGTGGGTGTGGGTCCATTGCCTGAGAGGATACCGAGTACACTTTTTGGGGGATATTGGTTTGGAAACCCAGGGCCGTGAATTAAAGCAGTGGAAGAAGGATGTCAGGTAACCATAGCAACAAACTGAGACACACACACAGACAGAGGTCACCACGAGCAAGTTGAGGCTTAATTACTTAATTTACCCATTTATGCAAAAGAGCGAAAAGAGCGGGCCTGCTGGGCTATTTGGCACTGCAGATAAGCTTTGAGTTGGCAGACAATAAGGCAGAACTAAACATTTTATTTTACACCTCAACATTGGTATTCAAATAAGCCATACTTTGCGCCATTGCTCTCTTGTTGTCAATTGTATTTATGCAGTTCTTTCCCTACAGTCCATTTCCAGATTTGCTCCTCGAGGTGGATGCAATATAAATTCAATTGTCATATGACCCTGACATTTTCTGACAATCTTAAGATCTGAAGAAATAGCCAAAATCATCATTCATTGCTTTTCTGTGGACTGCAGCTCTATGCTATTCTTTTCAAAGACCATTGGTATCAGTAAGTTTTCGTCTTCCCTTAAGTGAGAGACTGCTGGAAAACTG